ATCCATTTCCCTGGACTACTTATTTTATATGTTCAGGTGGGTAGCTGCGTCAGCATGTGTAGACTGCAAAGGAACAAGTAATAGGTTTATTCCATGCTGGAAAAAAAGAAGAAACAAAACACAACGTTTCAGCCATGAAAGGCTTCAGGCCTTCAGGCTCCACAGCCGAAATGTTGTGTTTCGTTTCTTCTTTTTTTCAGTATGGAATAAACCTATTGCTGGTTACTTATTTTATATGACAACACTTCATACTTTACCCGAACTGAGACACTTTGAGAGCTTCCGTGTCGTGAACCAGTGCATTCTTTTAAATCATTTCCGGAAAAAAAGGCCAAATAATGAGTATGTTGACTTGAGCCAGGAGTTAGAGAAATTAGGTTAATTGGGAGCTATTTGCCTTGGTCTCTCTCAATTTCTCCTTGTCCCTCACTGACACACCGCACGACCCCTCACACCCACAATGCACCTCTCTTGTTGCAGACGACAAAACTTGCCATACGATGCAGCTGTTTGAATTTATGAGTTCATAAAAACGTACGTCTGTGTCAGTTCAAGATATTAAAACCATGCAATTAACTTATATCGCATTAGATCTCGGAAAATGTTCTTAAATATTAATTTTGCTTCTGAGTAGAATATGGTGAGAGCAAATCATTCTGTCTTGGAATGAAGAACACTGAAGAAAGACATTTACCAAGACTCATAAAGAATTTTTTACAGAAGGAAATTAATCTTTTTTAACGCAAATATTTATATAAAAAACAAAGAAAAACTGACAGAGCAATAATACCTTGCATAAGGTACTTTATGTGCAGGTATTGTAGTGAGTGGCTGAGATATCAATTACACCCTAAAAACACTCTTTGTGGTTTTATGGAGTCTAAGACTTTCATTATTTTACTCAATACTGCAAACTTGCAACAAACGTCAGTCTCCTGCATATTCCAGCCAGGGAATTCAGGCATTCCTGTGACACTGATAAATGAATGTAGTTTTTGGCTCAGTGGTATAAATCATATTAACTTATTTGAATGATGCTTTTATCCAAAGCAAGTGCCTCCATTTACACAGCTGTGTATTTTACTGGGGCAATGCAGGTGAAGGATTTTGCTCTACAGTACAACAGGCCTGGGGCTCCCCAGGTCTGGGTTCAAAGACATGGTGAATCTTCTGCATGAACTCTGCATGCTTCCCCTGTGCTCAGGTTGGTATGGTCCTGTCTCCTGTCCTTGTGTTTTCTGTGATGGACAGACACCCTGTTCAGTGTGTAGTTTGACCTTAAGCCCCATGTTTATAGGTTGGATTCCAGGTTGCTCTGATTCTTCCCAGGAATAAGCAGTACTGAGTAGGAGGAGAGCTGATGGAAGATCAGTGCAACACTTACACAGAAGAGACCAGACCACTGTCCCCCTCTCTTTAACTTCAAAAAGGACAATGTCTTAAAGCTGCAGCTTGGATAATAAGAAAAAACATACATGAGGTTCAAAAGTCACTAAAAGTGCCAATGTTTTTCTATGTAATTAACTTTACCTTTTTCTGTATTTGAACTATTTTTAATTCTGCAGTTTAATACCTTTTTTCATCGTCTGTTAATATTTCAATAGTCACCGACTCTTATAATTACAGTAGGGTATATTCAGCATGTTTTTTTAAATATTTTTAATTTTGAAGAAGGCTATTCTAATGTTCTCTCTCTCAGTAGTAACAGTAACAGTTTAGCTAAACTTGCCAGTTTTTCACAGCAATTTAAGTCACTGTAGGGGCCAATTTAAAAGCTTGCCCTCGTCAAAGTGTGTGATGGCGATTAACTTTTATTTTCCATTAGGTAAACAGAACGTTTATGTTTTCATTTCACCTGAGATTTTAGGAAATGCAACAGATTCTTTTTGTCTAATTTTCCAAATTGAACTAGTTTTCCCCAGAGCTCTCTTTAGTTTTAGCTGCATAGAAGCCAAATGCAGGAAGATAAACGTCCTCATTGAGATTCGAACTGTTGCAGTATCACCGGCTTTCCACTAGGTGTCAGCAATACTTTGTTTTTTGTAGAACGGAAATCCTCCTGCTTCAAACGGAACAGACTTTCCGAGTCGGTGCTAAACGGGTAGTGTTGGATTTTAAATGCGTCTTTATTCTATTTAGAAAACGTATGTAGGCGAGTTCCCAAACACACGCTGGGATCTTGGCAGTCTCAAATTCTTAACCAGCTTCTTTTGGTGGAGAAATAAATAAAATATGTCAAGTTTTTATTCATACCCACAACACAGTTTTGAGAGCTTAGTTGTGACCAAAGTTGAGGAGGAAGGCAAATCCAACCCCTCCTAATCAGTATCACACACTCCTGTAGAACTATAAGACATACCTTCCCAGCAGTCACTGCCAGCAGCCCTATCACTCCCATCATCCCCACCCTGACAGCCGTCAACCGGCCTGTCCCACAGAATGAGTTATCTGCCTCCACTGTCCTCACAGCCAGGCTGCTGTCCCTAACGCCAAGCAGGCTAGAGCCAAACCATGACTAAACAACCCTGGAATCATTTAATAAAAGTCTCAAATGTTTGACTTCATTGAATGTTTGTCTGTGCCTCCTGAACTGCAGTGATGTGGCATTTTTGAAGTGGCAGTGGGGTTGAGGCTCAGTGGTCCTTTTCATTAAACAGTTGTTTCCCCTTCAGTGCTCCTGAAGTTTAAGGGCAATTCACTCTCACAGCACTTTGTAACTAATTTAAGTCAATACCAATGGTACCATCGTTAAGTTTAGTATTAAATAGACCCAACAGCCTAACTCTAAAGTTAGGGTTGTGGTTACAATTAGGGACAATGCTAAAGCTGAGCTCAAGTACCATGTTCCGACACAGCTGTTGTATTCTTGACTAAGGCAGTGTTAATATGTAATGGACTAGCGTGCCACCTAGGGCAATATTATCCTCTCAATTCACTAAGCGTCCCGAAAATAGGCCCTCTGAGCCCCTTAGGCTTCTAAAGGACTTTATCCTTTCATTTTCCCAAAGCCAAGAGTGAGTATGATCACACACAGCCTGCTGGGGTCCTCGGACCACTGTCTTCCATGAGCACCCTGGGTCTCCAGACCCTATCCCAGCCACTTAACATGCATTGTATTATCTTCATTGCTGCACATTGCATATAAAACTCTATAGATCCTGGAGAGTCCCTGTCCAGTCAATCTCATAGGCACTCTAAACCACCTGCTAGTTAATGGTCGGGTACACTACAAACTGATCAATTGAGCAAGGAAAGTGTCAATGAAGGGAACACTGGTCCTTGACTGGTGAAGGATATTCTGGTTTTGCTTCGAATGACCTCTAAATTACTTTATTGACCACACACCCCATTCAACTGATCTTAGTCAAATTTTTCCAAGCATTTAGAAATTGATGAATTAAAGGTTACCCCTAAAAGCTGCTGGACTGGGGGTCTGCAGGACCAGGCCTGGATACCCCTGCTATGTACTGTAGTACTGTACTGGGATTTCAAATGGCACTCGCCTGAGAAATCTATCGAATTCCAGGAGATGTGTGCTTAGTCCATTGGAGCTGAGCTTGAAAGTATCTTGGAGGGAGGAATCTGTGGATATTGGACAGGCTAAGGAGCATATATTTCTCTTCTATGAATGTGTCAGGAGTTTAAACATTACAGTTCACTAAAAACAGCAGCAAAACCAGGACTCATTACTGAAACAGAGATGCAGGGTAACAAATGGAAACTAAAAGGGAGTCCTTTCAGGACAGAGAGTAGGAAATGTATTTCAAGCAGAGGGGGCTGTGGTTCAAACTCCAGACAAATTCAAGAGTGTCTGGCTGAAATTTTTATTTTGCCTCACTACTAAACTACCAAATGGACAATGATGGGTCACCTCCAGTCATTCGCTGCCTTGCTTACATTCTTCTGCTGAAGTGTCACATATCTTAAGAAGGGCTTCCAGGCCTGTTGAGAAATATCAGGCATCCACTTCACAGTACGCCATGTGTGATCCTAGTCGCTTGCCAGCATCCTCATAATCCGTAAACCTTCGCACACTAACAGGCTGGAAAATGAAGAACTGAGGAGCCTGT